ACACCATGGTATTTAATATTATGATAAAAATTGTTTTTTAAAATGTTTTTTATTTGAAAATATATTAAGATAATATTTTTTTATTTAAAGAAATTTATTTATAATATTATCACATCAAAATAATTTAAAAATTAAAAAAATATTCAAAAATTTAAAAATGTAATTGGGCCATGTAAACAAGCAATGCCAAAATGTGAAGCACACAGGAGAGGAGGTTTTTTCTAGACCATCACAGTAGGAAAAGACATTATTTTTTTTTTTAAATTAACACTTTGAAAAAATAATTCCCAAACTATCACAATAATAATATGCACAAGAAGTGTATTCACAATTAGGTGGGTCGCGCATGCATCACGTGCGCGACTAGCAAGTTTCATTTGAAGTTTTTGCTCTCTCAAATAATTCACTCATGCAAGAGTCAATATACTTTTTTTTTTTTTTTTATAAAGATCCGATGGCATGAAATTAATCAAAATAATCTAATAGCTAGAGAGAAGAGATGACATGACGGAAAAAAAAAAAAAACAGGATAGGAGAGAGAGATTAATAAAAATAATAATAAGGTGTGAAAGACACACCATAATTTTGATAATTAAACTCCAAATACTATTAAAAAAATATTAACAAAATAATTTCATAAAAATCATGAAAAATAATCTTTGAAGTTTGTAGTGAGTCACACATACAGTCTAAAAATAATAATATATTTATTTATTAGTATTTTTTTTTTCTAATTATGAATTTAGCTTTTCATAATATTTATGAATATATTTTATCGATAACTTTATGATAATATTAAAATTTTTATTACTGGAACTCTGGTGTATCTAGACATCTTATTTTTTCTTTCATTTTTCTTTTCTTTTTTTTATCTTATTTTTTTGGTGATGTCATCAATTTTTTTAGTTATTAGATTATTTTTCATGTCATAAAAAATATATGAACTCTTATCTGAGAGAGCAACAGGCATCACCAACACACCTAATTAGGCATATAACCCATGCAAATATTAATTATCATGTTAATTTTAAAAATATTTTTTTATTTATGCTAGTTTTAAAAATAATTTTTACTACTGTGCTCAAGTAGAAAAAAACTCACAATACAGGGAGAGAGGTGCCATTCTGCCTTGAGAGCTTCACTTTCTAGGTGGGCTATGGACTTTTACTCACAGACCCTCCTTTCTTTGACCTCTAAAGTCCTGTTCTTTAATACTACTTGAAAAAAATACAGTATATTAATAACCTTTGTTTTAAGTGTTTAATGATTCTCTAAATCAAGTGATAGTCTTTGTTTTGCCGAGTGATAAAGAAGAGTCAACAAAGAGAAGCTAAAAAGTTATAAACTTGGTCATTTCTTATTTGCTTGTGCTGTTTCTTTTGTCCTAGTAATTTTGTCAGGAGAGAAAGCAAGAGAGGGGGAGGGAGAAATGGGGACTGTTTCACATGATGCAATCAATCAGTTCAAGGCATTGATGGATCAAGGTTCAATTTTGATCCCTTTTTACTTGTTTATTTCCTTTTAATACACTGCTTAACTTTACAGTTTTCGTTGTACTTTTCTTTTTCTTTTTTCAAAATGTGATGGCAGTTGAGGAGCCATTGAAGAGAGCTTATCAGGTTTGCATTTTTCTGCTCTTTATCTATGTTTCTACTTGATGGGATCTGTTTCTGCAACTTGGAGTCAAGAGTTTTCAAGTCTTTTTGATGTTGAAAATAGGTGAATTATGTAAAGAACAGTGAATCATGTAATTCTGTTATCACCAGCTGCCGAAGGGCACTAATTTCTTATCAGGCCTTCTTTCCTAGATGTTCATTTGTCATTATTTTAAAATGGCGCTATGATGATGGAAATCTTGGATGTTGTTATTAAGGTGATTGATTCAAAAGAAATTGAGGGGAAAAAAATGTGGTGTGCAGTCCTAGTAAGGTTTGATCTAGGTATAAAGGCTGCATATTGGGCTTCTGGGTGTGTTGAAGATGGCATTTCATAGCTTGATATCATCTTGGATTGATGGGAAGCTTTGATCTGAACCTTAAGTATGAAGTTCCATAAAAAATCTGGGGTTGGTAGAAACAAATCTATCTGTACTGTCAACTACCTACAAACTCATTTTCTGGGTTCGGTTATGATTTCTCTTTTGTTTTACTTAACCAAGTCTATAAATGGCATAAGAATATGAAACTTTTCTGTTGCCATTATCTAGTGTCAGCAGAGGTTCGGGTCACAACCTGTTTTCTTTAGATAGTTATCCACCTCCCTTGCCAATATATCTGTTTCTTGCTGTATCATTATCGGTTAAACTACCTTTTTCTTTATTTTGTAGACTGTCCATCAAGGATATCATGCTGAAACTCTGGCGCGTTTTCTAAAAGCTAGAGAATGGAATGTCATCAAAGCCCATAAAATGGTCAGCAGCAACTCCTTTGGTTGAAATGATCTGTGGATCTGAAAGTTTTGTCCTTTAAATGTAATAAAAATAGTTCAATCACAATCTTCTGAGATCATATCTGTATGATGCTGCAGTTGGTGGATTGTTTGCACTGGAGGGTGCAAAATGAGATTGACAACATATTAACTGTAAGCTTTTCTTCCAATCAAGTGCCGCCTTTATGTTCTAGTTTTCCCAGCTTTTTCAAGATGGAATAGAAGTTGAGTTTGATGTTTGCGTCTTAGTTAGAGGTTTCTTGCTAATGTATCTAAGACTTTCATTTTCTTACACATCTGATTTGGATGCCGCTTCCACATGCAGAAACCCATAATTCCAACTGATTTGTACAGAGCAGTGCGTGATTCCCAGCTCATAGGAATGTCAGGTTACTCCAGAGAGGTGCTCTTTCTATGTTTATAGTTGTCGTCTTCATTTATGGTTTCTTAGACCCAGTTTATAACCTTTTAAACCATGCTGCATCTCGCTCAATGGAGAATTCAAGTTTGTTTGAATTACAAAAAGAAAATTATCTCAAATGTTCTTGCTTGCTACTTCTGTCATCTTATTCAGGGGCTTCCAGTCTTCGCTCATGGTGTTGGGCTCAGCACATTTGACAAAGCATCTGTAAGTTATAAAATGCTTTAGCAATGCATCACTGTATAAATATTTACAAAATTCTTACATTAAATCTTACTGCTGGGAGTGTTGAAGAACTCGATGTTTTGCATGTCTTATTTCATCACAGGTCCACTACTATGTGCAGTCACATATTCAAATCAATGAATATCGGGACCGCATTGTTTTGGTGAGTATTTGAGTTTGGTGTGTTCGTATTTCTGAGTTCTTAAGGCAATTGTTCTCACCTGCATATATGTTTCATAGCCCACTGCATCAAAGAAGTATGGGCGACCAATAACAACCTGCGTGAAGGTTTTGGATATGACTGGCCTAAAGCTTTCAGCGCTGAACCAAATAAAGGTACAATTTTCTGTGCTAGAAACGTTTTGTTTCATACATAGAGCCCTTTCCTTGAATTTAGTATTAATCACTTGGCTTACATTTCAGGTTGGTTCAACCTTAACTATCACATCTTAATTAATTGGTTTCTTTACTTGAACCAGGAATTTCTGCCAACTCACTGATATTTTTCTTACCTTAAATCTCTAACCGGTTTATTTGGGTGAATTTTGTCACCATCAAATTTCTGAAAGATGGATTTAGTGTAAAAACACTTATTCATCGTGTCCATTTACCGGGTCTGGTGTTTTGTGTTATTGCAGTTGATGACCATCATATCAACTATCGATGACATGAACTACCCGGAGAAAACAAATACATATTACATTGTAAATGCCCCATATATATTTTCAGCTTGTTGGAAGGTGAGCCTCTTTTTCTCTCATTGCAATTGAATATCCTGCTTTTAATTCCTACCATTAAGTATCAGCTTGGATAAGAGTTTTAGTAAAAGAAGGTGTTATCTGCAAAAACAATGAAAGGACCTTTGTATGGCAACCATTTAAATATTTGAGCTTTTGCCAGGTTGTCAAGCCTCTACTGCAGGAGAGGACAAGAAAAAAGGTTCAGGTGTTGTCAGGAAACGGGCGAGATGAGCTATTGAAGGCATGTTGGTTTCTCCATGAGCCGTTATTCTTGAAATACAGGAAACTTGACTGTTACATCTTCTGCTTAATTCCTTACAGATGATTTAGTAGATTTTCAGGAACTTAATGGGCATGCTTCTGTTTTCCCCTTTACTCACTATATCTTATGGACTGATCTTGATGAACATGTTCAATATAGATAATGGATGCTGCATCTCTTCCACATTTCTGTAAAAGAGAAGGGTCTGGATCATCTCGACATTCAGGGTATGCAAATGACAACTGCTTTTCCTTGGATCATCCCTTTCATCAACAGCTATACAACTACATCAAGCAGCAATCGTTAGTGAGTGAACCTACTCAACCAATCAAACAAGGGTCTGTTCATGTAGATCTGCCTGAGCCAGCTGCTGAAGGAACAGAGATAGTGAAAACAATTGAATCTGAGATGCATAAGTTTGAGAATGGAAATGGACTTTCTGGGTCTCTAGATGGCCTCAAAATCAATGACGACTCAGACTATAGAACTACGCATTGCCCGTGATTTAAGCGGTGGATCTTAACTCTTGACGTCTGAAGACTTTGTTACAAGTATACAATGAATGTACTAGTAGCCGTCCACGTTATCTCTACATGGCACGGAAAAGCTTTATACAATGCATGTAATTTGATATCCTGGCTGGATAATCAGTATAAAGCTTGCCCCAGCCTGACATGGTGTAGGAATGCAGCGGAGAATAGTAAATTTTAGTTTAAATTGATATTGGTCATGTAGAGAAACATCTGTGGCCACCATCAATATTAACAAGATTTTCTGGTTGATAAACACATCAGCTTGGGGAAATCACACAAAGGATTTAGAAATTATGTCCGTTTAAACCCCAATGACTAATCTGAACCACCTGCAAGATCTGATTTTCAATTGCAGAATCATAGGAAGTGACCCTCATGACTCCTCTGAATGTCCTACCATCCTGAAAGAACTTTAAGCTACCACCAAAACTGTTTGCTCCTCTTCACGCCACCTCTGGAGTTGAGCCTTGAGGGTCTTTTGTGCAGCCTCCGACATTTCTGCTGACCTCAAAGCCATGGAAGTTGCTTCTTTGATTTCTTCAATTGCTTTTAAACTTTCCTCTAACTTCTCTACTTCATTATTGCTTGCATTCATTGCTTCTACCTGAGCCATGACATCGGTCACTGTCGTATCTGCTATATTTCTTGATTCATCTACTTTCTTCTTCAAACTCTCAAACTCTCCCAGAGAAATTTTGATCTTATTATCGGCATCCTGATCTTCAATGCTCTTTCTTTCAGATAGTGTCTTCATCTCTTCGCGGGCTTTCTTTTCTGCCGTCTTGGCTTCTTCAACCACTTTAAGAGCAAGTTCTAGCTTTCCCTCAGCATCTTGAGCCAGTAATCTCGCATTTTTTGCTTCTTCCTTCAGCTCTTCAGCATTATTCTTCATCTCTTCTGCTTCTCGTCTAGCATTTTCAGTTTCTTTTTCTATCACAGCATATTCTTTTTCGATTTCCTTCACCAGCAATTCAGTTTTCTCCATCTTCACATTTTCCAATTCCATTCGAAGGGAAGTAACCATATTTCGAAGAGAACTCTCTTCGATGGCAATTTCTTGCAGTGCCTTCGTTGCTTCATTGAACTCGATGGTTAAAGCTCTCATTCTTTCCATTTCTAAGGCATGACCCTTTTTCATCTCTTCTTGTAGAAGTTCAATCTCCGCAGATGTTTCTGCGAGCTTTGCCTGAAGATTCTTTGTGATCTCAGGATCGTATTCTTTCTTCAAAATCTCCAAATTCTTCTCTGCTTCTGCCATGACAGTCTTGCAAACACGTATGCGAGCATCTTTTTCTGCCACTACCTTTGCCTGCTGTTCTTGAATTTGTGCGGAGGCAATCTTTAGTTGTCGAGCTGATTCCTGCATAGCTCCGATTTCGTGTGAAAGATCACTAGCCCTTTCCTTGTTTGTTCTAGCTGAACGCTGAGCTTCTGCTGCTTGCTTGAATGAAGATGATTTTGCCTCCAACGCAGCGTCAAAATCCTGTCTGATTTTGTTGATTTGCTCCTTTGCAGCATCAAGTTCACAAGCAGTCATCTCGTACTGTTGTCTTGCCTCATCCAGTTCCAGTTCCAGTTCCAGTTCCCGAGCAGCATTTTCCATGAGTTGTTGGGATTTTGCTGCTTCAAGTTTCTTAGCCTTTTCATTCACCGCTTCCGCTGTTTCTATGGCTAATTTCTTGTTCTCATCTACAGCTTTGAGCTTGGTGGTTAAATCATTCAATGTTCTCTTGGCCTTTTCAAGTTCAGAGTCCGCTCCAGCTCGAGTAGTTTCGGCAGTCTCCCCCTCTCTCTTGAACTTGTCTACGTCTCTCTGAGCCAATACAATTTGGGTCTCCTTGTCAAGCACATTCTACAAAACCAAAGGTTTAATTTTACATTCAATCACAGATTTGAATCTTTTCTTCACCACCATTGCCAAACTCACAAGTGCCGAAAGGCATTTTCAAAGATTTGTCAAAGAAAATATGGGAATTCCATCAAGCATTCAATCTATCAATTATGAATTATCACTAATTGCATTGCAAAACTAGTCATCAGATTTTACCTCTGAAGAAAGCCTTGATCTCCTGACAGCAGGTTTCCCATTGGTAGCTACTTCACCGAATAAACTAACCGCAGCTTTGACAGATTGAAATGGCTTCTTGGTGTCAATCTCTCCCACCTCTCCTCTTGGTGATCCTGCAGCTTTTTGTTGATCTGTGCCCCCCAAGACGGTTACCATCCTTTTGCTTCTAAATTCCTCCTTCAGAGCTTACCTGCATGATCAATCAAAGCTCGTATCATATCATTTGAAAATCAAGTCGTTAATGACATAATTAACACCCTTTAGGAATTAATCCAAGCCCAAGATGTCAATCATAGGACATACAGCAAAGTTAGGTACACGTTTGTTATTGCGACGATGCACCGCAGATTTTAAGGCAACAAAAGCAATAAACGTAAAACCTCGAACCAAAGCTACAAGAGGGGGGCTACAAAGAACACAAAACAAAACAAGAGGTACCTTCGAAATGTTGTAACTCGAAGAAGAAGAAAACCCTCCAAGAAATTCTTAAAAACCAATATCCAAGAACATTTAATAAAACTCAGACTCATCTTCTTTTTTGATATGGGAAAGATAACGAATTTTGCGCGGGATTTAGCGGTAAGAGTTGACAACCTAACAGAAATAGGTCTTCATTTCATATGGACAAGATTGACCCTGACCTCCAGCTGTGTAATCCTCACTGATCCCCTAAGACGAGGGCATATCTGGAGAGGCAAGAAACTGAAGGAAAAAAAGAAAAAGACATTGGTGGGTTGGAACATTTGTTTATGAAGGGTGTCTTCATTAACTGTATTTATGTGTTAATCGAGAGTTAAAAATAGAAATTGAGCTTCAATTTCATGTATCTTGACCAGTTGATGACAACCTTTTCCACGTTGCTTGCATAAATTTGGTTTGTAAGACAGGATTTAATTTTCCTACCAAAAAAAAAAAACAGAGCATGGTGCTTAGATTTCTTTTTCCAGGAAGGCCCTGCTAGCACAGCCAAACTATAACTACGAACCAAACACGGAATAAGAACAAAAACACAGCTACGCAAAATGTAGTGGGTCTTGATAGATCATAAAGGATTACTTCTCACACACATGAATTCGAACTCCAATACATAACCAAAAAAAGACCTCTTTCTGTAGACCACACAAAACTAGAGGGGACAGCTGTTGGGGATTCCGGCTCCCTATATACGAACTGGTGTTATTTTATCGGAGACTAAACATAATATTTAACATAGTTCGACAAATCACTTATATTCATCAGAGAGTTTTATATTATTAGAGATAAAAAAAAAATTACAACATATATGAAAGAAGAGAATCACTTTATTCAAACCGGTGTTATTTTGATAGTTGTCTATCGGAGACTAAACACACTGAGATATAATTTTTAACGTGATTCGACAAATCACTTATATTTATTAGAGAGTTTTATATTATTAGAGATAAAAAAGAAATTACAACACACATGAAGGAAGAGAATCACTTTATTCAAACTCTACTTCGAGCTCTCTTGCTGTCATTGCAGCTCTTCACTTTCTCTCTTGGTCTCTCTACTCACTCACAATCTCTCACATTTTGCTCTCTCTCTCTCTTAGTGTCTTTTTATAAGCAGCAATGGTGTCACATCTCCAACTCTTCTTCAACAAAAATAATTGTCAACTTCATCTCTTCTTCAATAATGGTGGTTGTCAAAGTCAATGGTTGGTGCTGTCCATTTGCTACACATTAATGACAACAAACCTAATAACAACTTTATTGTGGATATCCACAGAGATATTATCAAACATGGCTACTAGTTGCTGGTGTTGAAGGCTTATATTATGTTTTTACAATGTTATAAATTTGTTAAAAATATTAAAAAAAGATTCAAAATATATTAATACAATCCACAATATTTTTAAAAAATATTAAACTATAAAGCTAAATTCCCAATCAATTTAATATTAAAAAATAAAATAGATAAAGATAATTTTTTTAAAATTATAAAAAGTAAAAGGAAAAAAATCATGTAGGAAACACTACAGTATATAAAAAGCAAAAAGAAAAAAATCATGTAGGAAACACTACAGTAATCTATAGTATTTTGTGAAGAAATATACAATTATAATTCTCAACCAATTTAATATTAAAAAAAAAATTATAACAAAAAAATTATGTGAGGAAACACTTTAGCAATCAATGGTATTTTTTTTAAAAAATACAAAGTTAAATTTTCAACAATTTCAGTATGGAAAAAATAAATTCAACAAAAATAATTTTGAAAAAAAATTGATATTTTTTTTTGGAAAAACACTATAGCAAGAAAAAATCATGTAGGAAAATATTATAGTAATTAATAATATTTTATTTCAAGAAAAAAACTATAAAGCTAAATTATCAACCTGCTCAATATATATATATATATATATATAAAATAAAATAGACAAAGACAATTCTAGAAAAAAAAAACAAAGAAAACAAAAAAAACTACATGGGAAAACATTGTAGCGATCAATAGTGTTTTAAAAAAAAAACTATAAAACTAAATTCTTAACCACCTCAATATTAAACAAAATTGACAAAAATAATTATGAAAAAAACACACAATAAAAAGATAATTTTGAGAAAAAAAAAACATGTAGGGAAAGATAAAGCTAAATTATCAACTAGCTAAATATTAAAAAAAAATTCAACAAAGAGAATTTAAAAAAAAAAACATGTGAAGAAATATTATAACAAAACAAAAACTATGTAGAGAAAATACTGTAGCAATCTATAATGTTTTTTTATAAGAAAACAACAAATCTAAATTTTCATCCAGTTTAATATAGAAAAAAATAAAAATTTAAAAAAATCATAAAAAATTATATAAGAAAACATTATAGCAATTCATAATTTTTTTATTTAAATAACAAAACTAAATTATCAACCAATTTAATATTATAAACAAATTTTAAAAAATAATTTAAAAAACATATAATTTTTTTAAAAAGTAAATCATGGAAAAAAATAAACATGTAAAAAAAATATAAAAAAAATATTAGTACAATAAAAATAAAAAATACAAATTAATTTTTTCATACCTTTTAAAGTATTGTTAATGGCAAGAGCTGAATATATCACGTTTAAAACAAGCAAACATGGCATTGTCATCTAGAACCTTAATAATATATATTAATCAATACTTTAAAAGACATGGGAAAGTATTTTATTAGTATTATTATTATTATATTATAATTATGATAAGGGAAAGTATTGTATTATTATTATTATTATATTATAATTATGATAACATATACTAAAATGCATCACCTGTCTTTTTTTTTTCTTTGTGGTTTTTTTAGGGAATTGTTTTGTTTAATTTAGTTTGTTAATGCTAATTTTTTATTTATTTAATTATCAGACTTTCTTGACACAGATCTCGTGTTTGACGGATTAATATGATTTAACAAGTTAATTTAGATTTTTTCTCTTTTAACTTATTTTTTTATTTAGTTTAGTTTGTTAATGATAAATTTATTTCTATTTAATTATCAAACATCCATGACACGTATCCCGGACTTGACGGATCAACTTGGTTTGACGGGTTAACTCAGTTAATTTTGGGTTAAGCTATCGATTGTTTTCTATTTAATTATCAAATTTTCATGAAGTAAATTTTAGGTTTGACGGGTTAACCTGGTTTGAAAGGTTAATTCAGTTAATTTAGATTTTTTCTTTCTTTTTATTCATTAGTGTTTTTATTTCTATTGGTTTTTTTCTTTGTTTTTTAATTAATTTATTTAATTATCACACTTTTACTACACGACTTTATAGCCAGACCCATATTCAATACTCTTGTGTTCAATGTTGCAGCCAGATTCACTTAAATTTAAGTCATGTAAGTTTAATATTATTATTAATATTATAAATATTACTCTTGGGTCAAGCGTTGCAGCTAAACCCAAAACTTTTATGTATATTTTGCAGAAAGACCTAGCACTATTAGATTATATATATATATATATATATATATATATATATATATATATATA